AGAAGGGAATAGAAATAATATGAGAAAATGAAAAATGGAAACAAAGTCTTTGTAGATAGGGAGGGATGGAGGGGTTGAAGGGAGGGCAGGGGAAGGGGGAAAATAAGAACCAAGAGAGATTATGTAAAGGTGCAGATTTCCAATGACAAATGTCATTATATTGTACACTTAAAATGTACCAATAAAAATTTAAAAAGGAAACAATCCTACCTCTCAAAGACCCTCTCCGTCCACCTGTTTTTCTATTTTAAATTTTTCTATAAAGGCCAAATAGATAATAGTAATTCTATGTGATAACTGTTAAAAGAGAAATTTACAGGGCTCAGGAACTCAAAGCAGGGTGCTTCTCCCATCTCAGTGCAGCGGCGAAGAGATAAAGCCCAAAGTTCTGCCAGATGGGCTGGCGCCGTGTCACCCTCTCTCACAGGGCCGGAGTAGGGCCATCAAACAAGGGAAGCACAGGTGAACACAGCTGCAGGACAATGGCCCTGACCAAGCACAGCTGTGCAGCTCTGGCCCCTCTGGTTCTCACACAGCAACTCCCAGTGGCTCAGTAAACATGGAAGATTATCTCACAGAACAGAACTGCAGAGAAAGAGCAGGCTCCAAAGCTGACTGACTCAGGGGCTCTGTTCCATCACTGGGCATCCCCGCTCTTCCCTCTCCTTCTGCCTCTCTCAGAGCTGGCTTTCCTTGCAGGACAAAGCAGCTCAGTCACGAGATGACTGCAGCACTTTCCGGCCTTGCAACAAGAAGAGAGAGTCAGGGTGCACCGTGTTACCCTGGGTCCTGTTCCTGACAAGGAGGAAGTGCCTCCAGATGACCCTTAAAGCTTCGCCTCGTGTCTCAAAATCCTGGATATGGACATGTGCCCATCTACAAGGCAATCACCGGCAGGCAGGCAGACCAGGCGTATCACCACCGGCTTAATCTCTTGGATGCGGCCTGCCTGGGAGGATAAACCACACTGCTGCTGAGTTTTCCAGGGGCACAGGCAGGCTGAGTTGAAGCCTGGCCCCTCTCTGCTGCCAAAGTATCTCTGTAGTTCCTACCTCAGCAAGACACTGGTTTCCCCCTAGTTTTAATGCACGGCAAAAACAGTGATGTTGGAAAATGATCAAATCATACCCTCCTAATTCACTATGCAGCTCAGATTCATGCACTTTAAACAACACTTACCAAAATCTACTAGCTTGACTCCACCCTCAGTGGTCAATAGAATATTATTTCCTTTCACATCGCGGTGGATAGTTTTGTTGTTATGCAAATGTTGAAGGCCCTAGAAGGTGGGAAATACAAGGGTTATCAAAAATTATGGTTAATGTTTAAAACATTATTACGGTAAAAGATATATTACCATTAATCCCCCACCACCCTGCTTCAAACACACTTATCTCAGTGTTCCTGCTATTTTCTGAAGCTGTTCTAGGAGTCTTCATTTGGGAGTGTCTTGATAAGAAGTGATCAAAAGCATAGTGAATGCTGCTGTTGAATGCCATCCAACAGGAAGGCAGCACATAAAAACATTAGGGTGTGTCTTCATGCACCTTATTCACCAGAGCTGGCACTACGCAACTTCAGGCTCTTCCCCAAAGTCAAACTATGAAAGGGAAACATTTTGTATTGATTCAGGACACCAAGGTAGCCAGGACAGGGCAACCTAAGACACACATAAAAGGAATTTGAGAACTGCTTCAGAACGTTGCAAGAACAAGGGGATAAATGTGTTTGAAGTGATGGAGAATATTCCGAGGATATTTAATAGCAATGTGTGTTTTACTGTAATAAACTTTTAAAATTTAAACACACTATTTTCTGATTATACAGTACCTCATATGACTCTTAAAGCATCAAACAAAAAAATGTTTCAGATGATGCATTTGTGCAAAATCAATAGCAAATATATGTTAAAATTAATATTATAACAATCCTAAATGTTTCCCATTGAGTTATAAGTCAAATTAAAGTATATCATTTCTATTTTGTAATACAGTATGTAAAAATTCACAAACCCAGAGCATGAACTTCAGCTTTTACCAAATATTTTACTAAGTATGTGGACCTCAACTGAAGAAAGCTTTCTACTTATTCAAGGTAATAGCAAATAAAGAACTGATTATTAGTAAATAATATATTTTCTATCTTTATCACTATCACAATCTGAGAAACACTTAGGAGATTAGAATTCAGGATACTGTTATATAAGAAGAGTAGAATTCAATCGCTTCTTGGCCTTTTGGCTAAGATCAAGTGTAGAAGAGTAGAATTCTTAAGGAAAAACAGGGTTTAGCTATGCTAAACACTTCAGACTGACTCTGTATTCTCTCATCAATAAATACTATTATAGCGACATTTCTTCTAAAAATACGACCCATGTTTTTATTTAATGAGGACTGCTCATAATTACTACAGAGAGAATTATAATTGCCTTACCATTAGCGCTTCATGTAAAATATAGGCAATTATAAGCTCACTCAATCTTTCTCCCCTCTTCAGAAAGCCTTTCACAAGGTCAGTCACTGAGCCGCCATTACACAGCTAGAAAAGATTTCAAGATGGATGTTAAAATGGATTCCACACCATCCGTGCTTCCTGCAACATTTTTAAATGTCATAATTTCCTGTTTTAAATGACTACTCTCAACTTCTCTACAGGTTCATAAATGAAATGAGCATATAAACTCATGTACAATTGACTACTGGAACAGCCTTCATATAAATTAATATTTTGGAACAGAGTTTGGGGAAACACTGGGCTTGATTTTTATTTTATTTTATTTTTTATTTTTTGGTACCGGGGATCGAACTCAGGTCCTTGTGCTTGCAAAGCAGGCGGCGAAACCACTGAGCCAAGTCCCCGGCCCCTGGGCTTGATTTTTAAAATTAAGAGTAAGAACTATGGAGCCGGGGATTTAGCTCAGTGGTTCCTCTGCCCTCGCAAGCACAAGGTCCCAAGTTTGATCCCTGGTACCAAAAAAAAAAAAAAAAAAAAAAGAATAAGAACTATGATTCTATAAATTATTCTTAAATTTTAGCATCTAAGGTTTAAAAGTACTAAATATTTCTGATAGTCCAATTAATAGTGCAGTAGATTCATAGCTTCACAGTTATGTGCGCTAATCTTTAAAAAAGTCTCCTTTTTGGCAAAATTTCAAAGTGCACTGAAGTGTTACAAATAAACTATTCAAAATAGAAAACTAATTAAAATATCATGTTTCCTGTGCTCTTTAGCATCTTTCCTTCTCACCTACCAAAAGCAGGGAGAATCTAGATAGAAAATAAGAGAAATAAACACAATAGAGGAATTTTTCACATCTAGGGTCTTGAAAGTGAGGTTACATAAAATCCCACAGAAAACTTTCCAAGGAGCTACGTTGTTTGTGGAACAGACTCCTATTGCCATTGGCAGCGGACACGAGAGGGCACATGCATGGCTCAATGGCTCTGGACCTAGCGAAGGTCCAAGGATGCTGATTCCACAAGTCCTTGATTTCCTAAAGTCTGATCCATTAGCCTTTGCCTTCAGCCTTCCATGCCTCCTGGGGCTCTTGTCTGTGGTTTCCCTGGCCTCAGGCTGATCTATTAAATCTCCTTTCCTGCGTGTCCTTTGGTATCTGCCAGTGCCTGGGAAGTTACAGAAAAGCACATAATTTTCCTGACCGTCTAACTCAGGTGCAGGAAAAGAGCTGAGAACAAGTATATTTTTAGCATCGTTATTTGAAATACTCAATACATTTTTTCAAAATCTTTTTCTAATATCCTGCACGCTGGTATGTAAGAGCTAAGATGCACTTAGTACTTCCTGAACAATTTACATGAAGTATCTCCACATCACATTGCTCTTCTCCCTCATGGAGGTACAGTATGATCATCTCCAAGTTAAAGATGAGGAAAATGAAGCGTATTCATCATTGGTGGCTTTCTACCTCAGAGAAATCTTCTTGCAGCTAGTGTAGGAATATGTGCAATCCAGACTTTGAATCCCTGCACTTTTCTCTGAGCAGGACAGGGAACAGCCTTGGAGAGGGACAGGGTCAGACTGCCCCCGTGGTGAGCCTGTGCAACCAGTTCACAGAATTACAGACAACTGACAGAGAAGAAATTGAGTCATCTACAATTGTAAGCCACTTATTTCAAAGCCCCCAAGATTTAGAACTAGTTCTAAGATTCCCAAAAATCACTGCAGGGAGATATATTTCTTTTTCTACTTCTCCAAAGTGTAGCCTTTCTTTAGCTGGACTTTCAGCAATTGCCTATTAGGAAAGAAAAGAAAGTTGTCAGAATCAAAATGGAGTCACTTACATCAGTTTTAAAATGGATTCATTAATTAATTCAGGAGGTTATGAGGAAAGGATCCTTAATATATACCTGCCTGATTGTAACTATCACAAAAGACTCTGTCAGGCATATGCCACCATGCATAGCTGTTTTCTTATTACTGACTTGGAGGACTCTTTTTACATTCTGGACACAAGTCATCTATCAGCCATGTGCTTTGTAAATGTTTTCTTCAGTCTGTGCCTTGACTTTTTAAGTGTTTTCTGAAGAGTAGAAATTCTAAATCTGTCCTTTAAAAATGTTTATGAAATGTGCTTTTTCAACCCTAAGAAATCTTTGTTTAATCCAAGACCACAAAAACTTTTCAGAATTCCTTCAGGAAGTTTTATCCTTTTTTCATTTTACCTATAGGTAAATCTGCGCTCCATTTTGACTTAATTTTTTATATGGTGTGAGGATGGGTTATATTTGGACATTCAATTACTTTTGCATACTTTTGTATTAGTAGAAAGTGTCCACGAAACAAAAGATAGATCTGAATTGAGTTTGCAGTCCACTGTCAGCACTATGAATGGCTGAAGCCTAAATGCTAAGTGACAGAAGATGACCTGAAAGGGCACTGTACCACAGCGTTCTGATTATATGATGCCTGGAACAGAGAAAACTGAAGACAGTGGTTTCCAGGGATTCAGGGGGATGAAGCAGCAGAGCAAGGAAGACTTGTATGCCAGTGAAACTAGTCCCTTTGATAATATAATGGTGGACACAAGTCCCTACACATTTGTCAGGATCCACAGAATGCAAAACACTTAAAGAGAGAATCTGGATGTAAACTGTGTACACTCGTTAATAATAATGTTATTATTTGAGAGATGCAAATGAAAACAACACTGAGATTCCACCTCACCCCAGAAAGAATGGCTGCTATCAAGAAATCAACCAATAACAAATGCTGGCGGGCCTGTGGGGAAAGAGGAACCCTGCTCCACTGCTAGTGGGAGTGTGGACTGGTGCAACCACTGTGGAAATCAGTATGGCGATACCTCAAAGAACTAGGATTAGAGGTCCCATTTGACCCAGCTGTTCCTCTTCTGGGTATATTTCCAAAAAAATTAAAAGCATCATACCACAGCAGCATACGCACACCCATGTTTACAGAAGCACAGTTTGTAATAGCTAAAACTTGGAAACAGCCCAAATGCCTATCAACTGGAGACTGGATAAAGAAGATGTGGTTTTAAAAAAAATAAAATGGAGTACAACTCAGCCATAAAGAATGATAAACTACAGACATTTATAGCTAAATGGATGCACCTTGAGGCTATACTCTTAAGTGAAATAAATAGGACTCACATGTGTAAATACTGAATTGTTTCTCTGGTATGAGAAACTGAAAGTATAAATACTGAATAGTTTTTCTGAAATTGAAAGTGTAAATTAAAGATCAAAAGGTATAATAGATAATGTGAAATAGGAAGAAAAGGTACAAAGGGGAAGGGGAAGGGGAATTGGGAGGGGTAGGGGAAAGGAAAGAAGGGAATGGAATTAATATGAGAAAAGGAAAAAATAGAAACAAAGTCTTTGTAAATCAGGAGGGGTGGAGGGGTTGAAAGGAGGGAAGGAGAATGGGGAAAAAATAAGAACCAAGATGGATTATGTAAAGGTGCAGATTTCCAATGATGAATGTCATCATATTGTTTACCTAAATGTACCAGTAAACTTAATTAAAAAAGAAAAAAGAAATCCTAAAGAGGTATATCATTATTGGCTCATACATTATAACAAATGTATCTGGCTAATGCAAGATGTTAGTGATAGTAGAAATGAAGCGGTGGTTGAAGGGTCTTGTTGGAATGCTCTGTACTTTCTGTTTAATTTTTCTGAAAACCTATAGCTGCTCAAAAACTAAGACCTATTCATTTTCTTTAATAAAAAAATTCTTTCTCACACCAGGAATATGCAAAAAGGACCTGAAATACTGAAGGAACATAAAAAATTAATCCAAGTTCAATATAAATAAAGCGCCCTTATAGTGTCTTCTCAGAAACTATTTGCTCGTAGCAGCACTGTATCACCAATGAATTTTTACAGAAGTGAATCACTGACCCAGAAAATATTCTTGATATGATACCTATATATGTATATAGTCTCTATAAAGTTTCATATTAATACTCAGTGAAAATTTGATATTTAGAAAAATCATAATTTATTCCTTCACATTCAACAAATATTTATTGTTAGTATACGTGAAGCACTAAGACAGGCGTTAAAGTAGATCAAAGATGACAAGGACAACTCCTACTTCTAAGGAGGCTAAAAAGGCAGTCAAAACCATAGCTTTCAACCCGATGAAATTTTTCTCTCAGGGACACTTACTACGTCTGGGTTGGGCATCGACAAGCCAGGGATGCCACCAAACTTCTAAAATGGGCAAGAACACTCCACAGCAAGAGGCCATCCAGGTCAGCATGCCAACAGCATTAAAGTCAGAGAAGTCTAAGTAGAGGGATAAGGAATAATTTCCTCAATTATATGTTAGGTCTTGAATCATAACTATATGGACGAGACATATGTGCCAAGTATTGTAGAATTTCACAGACAGATTGCTAACATTGAGTTGGAAGGGAAAAAAGCAAAGGTTTTAAAGAGCAAAAGGAGTCTGTTGTCATATATGTTGATGCACGTTTTCTCCAGGTCTTTTTGGTATAGTTTGGTTTTGACGTCTTCTGGAATACAGATCTACATTTTGGCAGGAGAGGGGGAATGATTCAGTTTTAGCAATTTTTTTTATATTAATTGGTCTTTTTTTGTAATTTTTTTGGTAACTCTCAGAAGAAAGGCTTTTCTTGACAAAGACAGTATTTTGTGAGAACTGTAAGATGATAATTAAATCATTTCCAATGACTTAAGCTCTGTAGACTTTTATAAACAAGTATGCATATTAGAACCCCAACAGAAAGCATCTAAATGGTTAAGAAAAGGAAAAAAGTTATTCACTGTAGTGACCATGAACTCTGCTGACCGGGAGTGGGCCGTGAAGGTGGTTTGTAGACAGGAGCGAGAACCTCAGAGCTGGCTGTACCCTAAAATGCAGGTTCTAGCCAGGGTGAAACGTGACCTGCTTTCTTCATAAAGATCCATTAAAGCCATGCTAGAATGTGAGCTGAAAGACATGATAACTAATCCAAAAAGTCTGTAAAGTCAGTGATGGCAGAAAAAGAAAAAATGATTTCATAATGTTCGATTTCATAAATCTAAGTA